CTGATAGTTCCTGATGCTTCCTGATGCCTCCTGATAGTTCCTGATGCTTCCTTATGCATCCTGGTAGTTCCTGATGCTTCCTGATGCATCCTGATAGTTCCTGATGCTTCCTGATGCGTCTGAATGGAAACCAGCCTTCTCGTTGGCATTTGGTCTAATTGTCTCCTGCGTTAAAGGCCATTCCGGATGTTTCCGTCACTCCCATGTGATCACCTGCTCCTGGAGATACGGCTTCATCTCCGCTGACGTGGGCTTTGTGTTTTCATCCCAAATGTTACCGCGCACGCCTTCTACTTCCATTGTGCACCTGGATGAGAAGGCCTCTACAGCGGAATAATGGGACAGCGGGTGGAAATGGATTGTGGTTGATGTTCCAGGCTAGGCAGAGTAAAGCTGTCACTGGTTTTAGCTTCACATGTAGCTGCACTGTGGCCCGTTAGAAGTGGAAGAAGTACAAAAAACATGAAAAATAAGTGGAAAAACCCAAAATAACATCCAAACAACCTAACATGGAGGTTTTTAGATGGTGGGAGGAAGCCGGAGAACTTCTTTGAAATAATCAGCTCCGTGCGTCTTTTTATATACAAAGATACCGGCTTTTTTGCAGCGTGCCGGTAAAGATGTGACAGTTTAACGGACGCTGTTTTTCTGCCAGAAAACAAAGCTGTTTCTGTTTCTTTTTAGAAGTTGTTTTTGTTTCCCAAAAGTTCTGTTTGCATGATGTTACGGGGGGATGACCTGTAGATAACCTTATCCTTAGCAATACAAATATCCTGGTTAAGAAAATTCAACACTCATTATCAGCTTTTTGAAGCCTTTGAGCAAATGGTATCTTTTATTTACCCATTTTCTTAACCAAGTCCTCCTCTGCTCCCTCTTTTTGGTAATGGGAAAGTTTATTCTCATTAGCGTTACCAAACTTTTACAGTTCTGTGCAGACAGGCGATGCCATCAGTCCCAGCAGGGAGGAAGATGGAGCACACAAAGCAGCACAAAAAAGGACAAAAACGCACTTCCTCAGCTCTGCTGGGAAGCCATCGATTTAAAAACTTACAGCATTTTCCCTAAAATACAAGTTTGATTTGAAAAAAATCAAGACGCCAGGATGTGAAAAACAACCATAAAAAAATAACTTCAACATAAAATCCATAAAAAAATCATTTTATGATCAAACACGATTCATTTTATACAAAAAAACATAATATCTTACAGCAGAGAAACAGAAGTGAGCAGACTGCTCTGAAGATGGGGGAGCGGCTCCCCCTGCTGGCGGTGGGCTGACACTGCAGCCCCCGGTGAACGGAGTGGCTCCCCCTGCTGGCGGTGGGCTGACACTGCAGCCCCCGGTGAACGGAGTGGCTCCCCCTACTGGCGGCGGGTTGTTACTGCAGCCCCCCCCCACCTGGCCGGCCCCGGCTGGGCTCAGGAGTCGTTGGGCAGGCCGAACAGCTTGACCGTGCCGGCCTCCCGGTTGCTGTCGTACTTGCCCTCCTTGTCGTCGCAGGCGTAGGCCAGCAGGGGGCGCTTGGGGTGCCAGGCCACCGTGAAGGTGGGGGAGTCGCACTGCACCTCCCACAGCTTCTCCCCTGCAACCGGAGCCGGAGGAGAGCCGGTGAGACCTCCTCAGAGTGGAGCCCATCCCCCTTCCTCTTAAACACTCGTTTCCTGCGAGAGTCTTTTAGTTATTTTGAGGATTTCATAGTTAGTGTGTGTTTTTCCGCTCTAATTTTGCCTCTTTGGGATAAGGTGACACACATCTCTCCCTGATGGGGTCAAAGGTCAGCAGAAGGCTGGAGGCCAAACGTGATTCAGGTTGTGAAGTCAACATGAGGCCCGTCGGCTGTGTGAGTCAGAGCTGCTGGTTTTCAACTTTTTTGCTGTATTTTTGGGTCCTTTTTAGCTTGGTTTTTCCTTTTTGCTGTATATTTCATAATTTTAGCTCTATTTTTGTAGTTTTTTTTATATATTTGGTCATTTTAGCTCTATTTTTGCTCTTTGTTATATATATTTGGTCACTTTAGCTCTATTTTTTCTCTTTTTTATATATATGTGGTCATTTTAGCTATATTTTTGCTCTTTTTTTATATATATGTGGCCAATTTAGCTCTATTTTTGCTCTTTTTTGGTTGAATTTTTTTGTCATTTTTACCTTTGTCTTTGCTTTTTTGGTCTATTTTTAGTCATTTTCAGCTTTGATTTAGCTTTATGGTGTATTATAAAAAATTAAAGGAGTGCTGCTGCTAACAAAGATCCACTTTAATCTGCTGCTCTGCTCAGCTGGACACAACACTGGCTCATCCCTTGAGTTAAGAGGCCTTTTTTCTGACTCAATTGGGTTAAAAAGATCAAAACTGGACTAAAAATTAGTGAAAATGTAGAAAATGCCCAAGCAAAAACTTTGACAGACCTCTGAGATCCTGGATGAGTGTCACTAAAGATCCCCTTTAAACTGCTGTTCTGCTAAGATGGACATACACTGGCTCATCCCTTGAGTTAGGGGCCTCCTCTATGGCTTATTAAAGACAGAAATCGAGCGCTGGAGAACCGTCCCAAACCCGAATCCCCCCTGAGCCGGGCCACTGACCTGTCTCCACCTCGGCGATGTCTATGAAGTGGTCCTCGGAGGCGGAGGCCAGCATCCGGCCGTCGTGGCTGAAGCTGAGCGTCCTGACGGGCCAGTCCAGCCGGGAGAAGCAGCGCACGCACACCAGCTCCTCCACGTCCCACAGGCTGACCAGCGCGTCGGCGCTGCCCGTGGCGAAGTAGCGGCCGGCCGGGTCGAACTTGATGCAGATGCAGTTGGAGGGGTGGGCGTTGATGGACTGGACCGGCTTCAGCTCCGGGTAGCTGCCGGGACACAGGCGGCCGTAGCATTAGCATCGGCTTAAGCATTAGCATTAGCATTTCATGACCCACAGGCCTGTGTCCTGACCATTAAGACGGCCATCTTAATTTGAAGCTATCGGTAAAAATGTCAGTTGTGTGGGATTACTTTATCCTTAAGGACAAAAAGAGGAAGAGCTGGATGTAAAACAGAGTTAAAAGACTATTTTCTGTTCAGGTTGTTTGTGTATTTTGCTTTTTTGATACAGTTTTACAATATTATTGTTACTGTTTTACTGTTCACCGATGCCAATTGTTTGTTATTTATATTTGGTCTATTTTGTGTTTATCCCTGAATAAACAGGTCAGTGTCTCTTTACCAACCAGTGTGTGTTATTCAGACTCCCATAATTCAGCTGCTAGTTGTTATCAGAGTAAATCCCAGTTCAACTAAGTAAATAGATAAATAACTTTAAACTTTAGTACATGCTCTGATCGGATCGGAAGAGTAAAAAGCTGGATCGGGACATCCCTCCAAAAAGGCCCAGAGTTAAAGGTTTAAAGCTGCTTCTTCCAGTTTATTTGGGTTCTGAAAGCCGGCTCAGATCAGAGAGGCTTTTGTTTAAGGTCTCTGCTTATCAGAAAAGGCCTCTAACTCAGTGGTTCTTAGCCTTAACCTTTTCTGAGGAACCGAACATATTATACATACGGAATATTCTCCTACCTCAGGATGTTGATGCAGCCGTTGCCGTTGGTGAGGAAGAACATGTCGTTGTCGTTGTTCCAGGAGATCTCGTTCACCTCGAACTTGAACTGCTCCTCGGCCTTGGAGCGGTGCGTCTTGGCGTCGATGAAGGTCACCACGTCGTCCTTGTTGCCCACGGCGATGGTCTGGCCGTCGGGGCTCCAGCAGATGTTGATGTTCTCACCTGCAACCACCGTTTCCCCACCATCATTGAACGCACCACCCAGACTTCTCACACACAATACGTTTTGGGTTGGTTTGGGTCCGTTTTGGACATGTTTGGGTCCGTTTTGGATCGGTTTAGGTCTGTTTTGGGTTAGTTCTGGTGAGTTTTGGATCAGTTTGGGTCCGTTTTGGACCGGTTTAGGTCAGTTTTGGGTTAGTTCTGGTCAGTTGTGGACCAGTTTGGGTCCGTTTTGGACCGGTTTAGGTCTGTTTTGGGTTAGTTGTGGTCCGTTTTGGACCGGTTTAGGTCTGTTTTGGGCTGTATTGGGTTAGATTGGGTCGTGTGCTCAGCTCCGTGGGGCAGGACAGGTTGGCAAATGAAGTTTCTATATCAAATACATGCCAAATAAACAGGGAACCAACATAAAAAAAAGTTTTCGTTTGAAATCCACAGGGAAAAAAGCAAATTATTTTTACTATTTTAACTGAATCAGCAGTAAATAAACATAGTCAGAGTCCCGTTTCCAAACTTTATGAGACGTTTAGTGGTTGTAGGAGCTTAGAATATTGACCGTTTCCATTTAAATTTAATCTAAGACTATCATCTGCTTCTGCTCGCTGCACGTCTTTGCTTTAGTTTCAACTAATGTGGGGTCTTTTTTTTTTTTTTTTTTTTTTCTGGAGCAGGGAGACCCAGAGCCCCCCTCCCCACTCCCACCCGTGACCCTACCCTTGGTGTTGACGGTGGCGATGCATTTGGTGGTGCGCACGTCCCATATGCGGATGGTTTTGTCCCCGGAGGCTGTGACGAACAGGTCTGGGTTGGTGGGGTGCCAGCAGAGCTGGTCCACGCTGTCGCTGTGGCCTCGGTAGTTGTTCTCCTTCATCTGTTAACAAAGGATCGGCCCAAGGAGGCCAACGAAATGAGACGGCCATGAACAACCCGCCCAGTAAATCCACAGGTTCCATTAGAAACAGCCTCACTGGGCTTTTCCAAGAGTCGTTTTTCAATTTCCAAAACAGTCACAGGGAAAAAAGCTAATTATTTTTAATGTTTTAACTGAATCAACAGTCAGTAGAGTAGTCAGAGTCCCATTTCCAACCTTTATGCTGTGTTTTAGTGGTTTTAGGAGCTGAGGATACTGACTGTTGAGGTTTTCCAGATTAATCTGTTTCCATTTAGATTTAATCTAAGACCATCCTCTGGTTCTGTACCTCAAGTTTACTTCATGCATTTTAAAAAGCACACAGAAGTTAATTTTACAACATAAAATAGATTAAATGTGTACAAATGCAGCCATATAACAGATGAATACAATAAGTGACATAACTGGGACGTTTACGGTAGCTAGGAATTTCTAAACTTAATAAAGCTGGTCATTTAAAGCCTGCATTCAACGTTAACAAATGTCTACACAGAAGCAGAGATCCTGGCGTTTTAAAGGTTGAGTACAGGTGTTAAAACACCAAAGAGACCAAAGAATTGTGGCTGTTTTCTTTCCATTTATCTGGCAGGACCACACGCCACCATTCATTCTCAGAAAGGAGGCTAACGCTGGGATGCTAGCTCGGCGTCGCTCCGCCACTCACCAAACGGTCCTTTTCCAGGACGAAAACGCTCGCCGTTTTGTCAAAAGACCCGGACGCGAGTCTTCTGCCATCGCAGCTCCACGCCACCGAGTGGACCTTGGCAGTGTGGGCCGGGAACTCGCGACTTTTGTTGTTATTTCTGAAGCTCTCCTGCATTTCTTGGTAGTACTGCGACGCCATCTTGGATTTGGGAACCGGACGCGTTACCGCCACACTCTGGTGCGGAGGGGAAAATAATTTTCCCCCCTAATTTTCACGAATTAAAAAAGTAAAAATGGACTGTTCTCTGTCCCCTTTGGGTTTGATTTAATATAATTTTTCTTTGGTGGCTGTTGGTGTGTCGTTTTTATGGACCAAATTTTCATATTTCCTTTAAGGTAGAAGGTTAAAAAAAGGCCAAAACTTAAGAATTGTATCCATACTTTAAACTGACTTTGTCAAGTCTTGTAAGTTTTCAATCTAAATCTAAAAAATTAAGATAAGAGTGAATATGGGGGTTAAAAAAATGGAGCAAACAGGCACTTCAGATAACTCCACTGTGTAAAATGTATTTAGGTAAACAATAGGCAGAATTTGAATACATTAATCATTTATAAGGCAGAAAGTTTGTAGAAAGCTATGTGAAAGGTTATTGCTTACTGGTCAAAAGTATATAAACTCAAATCCATCCACTTTTAACCTGGTGCCGATTGGCTGGAGTCACAAAACAAGCCCGACTTCTGTTGGTTTTTATATTTGCAGTTTATTTCAAGTGTTGCTAAAATGAAAACCCATGTTTTTTAGAAAACCTTTAACACTCCATTTATATCCAAAACACACACGACATCTACTCAGTCAGACACAGGAAACCTTTATAAGTAGCCACCGGAAAGAGGACCCAAAACCGTTCTGCTCGCTGGAGGTTTGTGCGAGGCCTGGAAACGCGTGGCGCTCCGGCCCGCGGCAGCTTTCTGAGCAACGTCCTTTGCATAAGGGGTTGAGTACACCTAAAGGACCGAACTAAAGCACTTTGAACGTGAGCGTGTGCGTGTGTGTGTGCGTTTGGAGAAACGGCGGGGTATGTGAACGCGTCGTACAAATGTGCCTCACGTCTTTGCATACTTTTTAAAACTGGTTTTCGGTGTTGCATCACAGCTCAGAGAAGCTACCGTAAATCTAGGAGTGACTCCGGACGGGAGGTCCTACGTAGAATAAAAAAGCGGTGAGTCGTGCCTGGGGGCGGGGGGGTGGTGTGTGTGTGTGTGTGGGGGGGGGGTGACGATGGCGGGTGGGCACTCGGGTCTTCAGGTCTCTGGACTCGGTGCAGGAAGACGTCTCTGGTTGGTGGACGGTGACGACATCTCAGGAGGTTTCTTGCCACAGAAGGGGGGCTCGGGGCTTCGGGGGGGTGTCCGTGGAGAGGTAGAGGGAGCACGGTGCCCTCTGGCTGCCGGGCGAGGCCCCGGGGGGGCCGGGGGAGTCCCCTGGGACCCTGAGAAGGTCCGGCTGGGCTACGGGAGTCTGGTTCAGGCTGTTTCCAGAACTCCCCGGGGGGGCTGGAAAATGTTCCCGGATGGTTTCGCCCCGCCTCCGGTCAACAGCCAGAGCGTCCGACCGGGCAACGGAAACCGTGGGGGGGGGTTTAGGGGAACTGGAGTCCGTTTGTGGAAGGTTTTCAGCTCTAAAACGCATGAAGGTGCGTTCAGGAAACGTGGGCTGGCTGGCTTTAGCTAACCACGGCTAACGGAAGAGCTGAAATCTAAGGGGGGAAAAAGGCCAGGAAATGTAAAGAAACCTCAGATTTCTGCATTCAAACCGACTAAAGAGGCGTAAGTGGGCTCTGAAAACCTCCACTGGGACTAAAGAGGCAGAAGCTGGACTCTGA